ATTTTTTTATTTTTATTTTTTTTTACATTATAGCTGAGCTTCAATTCCAACATAAGAGTAGTAATAATAATAATGGATGTTTTTAACTTTTGAACCAGATATACAGTTGTGTCCAAAATTGGGGCCATTCAACCCCCACTGAAATTGAGTGTTTTGGCCAGTTTGACATTGCTTTTTGATCATTCAGTCATCTTGCTTACATTTACATTAAAGAGGCACTTGTAGGTCAGACAAATATAACATAACAGTTATAATGAAATAACCACAAATGTCTTTTCTGTGCTCACAGCATTATCAGTTTTATTCAACCCCCAAGTGACATTCAATCTTAGTACTTAGTACAGCATCCTTTTACAGTTATAACAGCTTTTAAACGTGAAGCATAGCTTGACACAAGTGTCTTGCAGCGATCTACGGGTATCTTCGCCCATTCTTCATGGGCAAAAGGCCTCCAGTTCAGTCACATTCTTAGGCTTGCGCACTGCAACTGCTTTCTTTAAGTCCCACCAGAGGTTCTCAATCGGATTTAAGTCTGGTGACTGCGATGGCCACTCCAAAATGTTCCAGCCTTTCCTCTGCAACCATGCTCTAGTGGACTTGGAGGTATGCTTGGGATCATTGTCCTGTTGAAAGGTCCAACGTCTCCCAAGCCTCAGGTGTGTGACGGACTGCATCACGTTTCCATCCAATATCTCCTGGTACTGAAGAGAATTCATGGTACCTTGCACACGCTGAAGCTTCCCTGTACCTGCAGAAGCAAAACAGCCCCAAAGCATGATTGACCCTCCACCATGCTTCACAGTAGGCAAGGTGTTCTTTTCATCATAGGCCTTGTTCTTCCTCCTCCAAACATAGCGTTGATCCATGGGCCCAAACAGTTCTAATTTTGTTTCATCAGTCCACAGAACACTATCCCACAACTTTTGTGGTTTGTCCACATGGCTTTTGGCATACTGCAGTCGACTCTTCTTATTCTTTGGAGACAGCAAGGGGGTACGCCTGGGAGTTCTGGCACGGAGGCCTTCATTACGCAGTGTGCGTCTTATTGTCTGGGCTGAAACTTCTGTACCCACATCTGACAAATCTTTTCTCAGTTCCTCAGCAGTCACACGGGGACTTCTCTCCACTCTACGCTTCAGGTAGCGCACAGCAGTCGAAGTCAGCATCTTCTTTCTGCCACGACCAGGTAGCGTTTCAACAGTGCCCTTTGCCTTGAATTTGCGAATGATGCTTCCTAAGGTGTCTCTTGGTATGTTTAACATCTTTGCAATCTTCTTATAGCCATTGCCCTTCCTGTGAAGAGAAATCACCTCTTCTCTTGTCTTCCTGGACCATTCTCTTGCCTTCACCATGTTTGTAACCACACCAGTAAATGTCTAGAAGGAGCTGAGTATCACAGTCATTTTAAAGCTGCCTAATTGGTGCTTATTATGCTTGATTGCTGCTCGGTGACATCCACAGGTGTTTTCAATACCTGATGGAAAGCACCTGTATGAACCTCTGTTCTTCAGAGTGGTAGTCTTTAAGGGGTTGAATAATTGTGGCAATGAAGAAACCACATAAGAACCATTTACTACTGTATTACATAAACAATTGATGTCATTTTAGTTGCATTTGGGTAGTTACAACGTCCTTGTAGGATTTGATTCTGAATACAATTCCAAATGTACACTATAGTCCCTAAACCCCTTTACAGCATTGGGGGTTGAATAATTTTGGACACAACTGTATGTAGAAACTTGCTGTGTGGTCTCCTAAACATTCCATCTATGACAATTGTGGTTTCTTCAGACAGACAAAATACAAATCAAAAGCATGTCTTCTAAGAGTGTGATGTCAAGGGAAAGGATGCTGAGACGTTCCTTTGGCTAGTATCCAACCTGATATATAGAAAAGTGAAACTAGTGATTAAAAAAAATAAATGATAATAGTGTGGGGTAAAGCATGCAGCCCCGAACTGTAAAGTGGACACAGTAGATTGTATTTTTCCTGTTCAATATGTTTATTGAGAAAATACAAAACTTAGCAAAGTTCAAATTCCAGTTCATACACTGAGCGACAGCATCACAGCGTTACAAAGCATGGAAAAGATATACAAAACATCACATGAAAAGTGGCTGCCTAAGACCTCAAATACGATAACATGTAAGGGTCTCTTACCCCTCGCCCTCCAGAGGATCCCCCCCCCTTCCTGATTTTTTGCGATACGGCGCTGCGTTACTTTAACTGACAATTGCGCATTCATGCAACACTGCACCCAAATTAAATTTCTGTCCCTTTTTTATCCCACAAATAGAGCTTTCTTTCGGTGGTATTTGCTCCCCTCTGCGGTTTTTACTTTTTGTGCTATAAACAAAAAAAGACCGACAATATTTTGTATTTTCTGCAATAAAACATCCAATAAAAAAAAATGTAAAAATCAAATTTGAAAGAAAATGAAATATATATCTTTTTTTCCCACAAATAGAGCTTTCTTTCGGTGGTATTTGATCCCCTCTGCGGTTTTTACTTTTTGTGCTATAAACAAAAAAAGACCGACAATATTTTTTATTTTCTGCTATAAAACATCCAATAAAAAAAATGTAAAAATCAAATTTGAAAGAAAATTAAATATATATCCTTTTTTTCCCACAAATAGAGCTTTCTTTTGGTGGTATTTGCTCCCCTCTGCGGTTTTTACTTTTTGTGCTATAAACAAAAAACGACAGACAATATTTTTTATTTTCTGCAATAAAACATAGCCAATAAAAAAAAATGTAAAAATCAAATTTGAAAAAAAATTAAATATATATCCTTTTTTCCCACAAATAGAGCTTTCTTTTGGTAGTATTTGATCGCCTGTGAGTGTTTTATTTTTTTGCACTATACACAAAAAAAGACCGACAATTTTGAAAAAAACAATATTTTTGACTTTTTGTTATTAACCGTTTCAATACCAAAAAGACCAAAAATTTTGAAAAAAAAAAAATTTTTTTCTTTGTTTCTGTTATAAAAGTTTACAAATAAATAATTGTTCTTCATAAATTTAGGCCGAGATGTATTCTGCTACATGTCTTTGGTGAAAATAACCCAAATTAGGATGTATTATTTAGTTTGTAGGAAAGTTATAGAGTTCACAAACTATGGTATAGATCTGAATATTGATCAATCCTGAAGTACTGACAGCCAATCTAATTTCTTGAGGTCCAAGAATGTCAGGACTGTACAGAGATCCCCCAAATGTCAGGACAGTACAGATATCCCCCAAATGACCCCTTTTTGCAGAGTAGACAGTCCGACGTACTTCATAAGAGGCATGGCGAGTTTTTTGAAGTTGTATTTTTTTTGTCATAATTTTTCGGAAAATTAAAAAATTAAAAAATTATTTTCACAATTTTTTTTTTTACATACTGTCACCAGTGCAGTACAGCATCATCATATAACTGGCATGGCGGTGAACAGGGACACTGACTGGTGACAGTATGAAAAAAAAATATATATTTTTTTTTTATTTTTTTTTTTTTTTATTATATTTAATTTTTTATTACATTTTTTTTTAAGATTTTTTTTTCATATTTTACTATGACCAAAGTAGTACAATGTTACCATAGGAGTAACATTGTACTACTTTGGGGAAGTGATCAGTATTTTTTTTTTACACAATTTGCTTATAGCAAAGAATTACTTTGCTATAAGTAAGCATTTACCTGAATGACATCGATTCATTCAGGCTTTTTTTTTTTTTTTTTGTGCTTAGCTGTGATTTGGTCACAGCTAATCACATGACATGTGCATGTGATTAGCTGTGACCATTCACAGCTAGGCACTAGTATACAATGGATGGCATCATGAATGAAGCCATCCATTGTATACAACTGTCATGTGACCTGCTGTGATTGGTCACAGCAGGTCACATGGTACCAGCAACGGGAGCCGGTACTCGGATCTGTCATCGGCCGTGTCCGAGGTGCACGGCCGGTGACAGATCGCACTGCTGCGCCGCTCTGCATTAGCGCAAACTGCGCATGTGTGGGAGCACGCTAAATGGCGTGCACCCGGAGTGCAGAGACACCTTTGAAGCCGCCAAACGGCCATTGGCCGGGCGGCTAATGGTTAAACATGTCCAGTAAAGAAATTCAAAAAATCAAATTTCATCATAAATTTAGGCCAAAATGTATTCTGTTCCGTGTCTTTGCTAAAAAAAATCCCAATACGTGTAAATTATTTGGTTAACGTGAAAGTTATAGCGTTTACAAATGGCGGTATATATACTGGGATTTTTGTTTATATTTTTTTACTAGTAATGGCGGCGATCAGCGACTTATAGCGGGACTGCGGCGGGCATTCTGACACTGGGGGGGAACTGACTAACTGCCACTGACATCCCCAGTGACACCAATACAGTGATCAGTGCTAATAAAAAGCACTGACACTGTACTAATGGCACTGGGCAGGAAGGGGTTAACATCTGGGGCGATCAAAGGGTTAACTGTGTGCTGTGTGTATTTTACTACCCAAGACATGCTGCTTTGTATTTCTCTGCTGTGCAGAGACATACACATCAGTATGTCTTTCTGACAGCAGAGAGACCTGTGTTGTTTACACGCAGGTCTTCTCCCCTGTCAGCTTTGCTCGACGATCGGCAAGTGCCGTGCGGAATCGGTGATGGACATCAGCAGCCGCTAATGGTGGCATGGGTAGGGCATGCGCATGTGCGCCCCTTATCCGGAATGGCAAAATCACGTATGTATATAGTATTTCTGCTATAAAGTGGCGGGAAAGCTGTTATTGCCGATAATGCATTGCAGTAAAAAATTTGACTTTAGAACCAATTTAAGAGAACTGAAAGCTTCCATTTTTGCCTGCCATTCAACACCCATAGTCCCCACATTGTACTTTGGACTGGAATGTGTATACAGTCCGCTTTACGGTAAATTCTATTCCAGATCTTATTGTAGAAATATAGCTGTACATTTGTAAGTGTGGATTAAAGATCAACTTTGTTTAAAGCGTTTACCAAACCCAGGACCCTGCATCCATTATATATCTGCTCTCACTAAATCCGCTCCCCCCTGCATTCACTATATCCGGTCTCCCTGGACCCTGCATTCACTATATCTGGTCTCCCCGGACCCTGCATTCATTATATCCGCTCTCCCCGACCCTGCATTCACTATATCCGCTCTCCCCGGACCCTGCGTTCACTATATCTGGTCTCCCCGGACCCTGCATTCACTATATCTGCTCTCCCAGGACCCCGCATTCATTATAGCTGGTCTCCCTGGACCCTGCATTCACAATATCCGCTCTCCCTGGACCCTGCAATCACTATATCTGCTCTCCCCAGACCCCCGCATTCACTATATCCGGTCTCCCCGCACCCTGCATTCACTATATCTGGTCTCCCTGGACCCTGCATTCACTATATCCGCTCTCCCCGGACCCTGCATTCACTATATCCGCTCTCCCAGGACCCAGTATTCACTATATCTGGTCTCCCCGGACCCTGCATTCACTATATCTGGTCTCCCCGGACCCTGCATTCATTATATCCGCTCTCCCCGGACCCTGCATTCACTATATCCGCTCTCCCCGGACCCTGCGTTCACTATATCTGGTCTCCCCGGACCCTGCATTCACTATATCTGCTCTCCCAGGACCCCGCATTCATTATAGCTGGTCTCCCTGGACCCTGCATTCACTATATCCGCTCTCCCTGGACCCTGCAATCACTATATCTGCTCTCCCCAGACCCCGCATTCACTATATCCGGTCTCCCCGGACCCTGCATTCACTATATCTGGTCTCCCTGGACCCTGCATTCACTATATCCGCTCTCCCCGGACCCTGCATTCACTATATCCGCTCTCCCAGGACCCAGTATTCACTATATCTGGTCTCCCCGGACCCTGCATTCACTATATCCGGTCTCCCCCGGACCCTGCATTCACTATATCTGGCCTCCCCGGACCCTGCATTCACTATATCTGGTCTCCCTGGACCCTGCATTCACTATATCCGCTCTCCCCGGACCCTGCATTCACTATATCCGGTCTCCCCGGACCCTGCATTCACTATATCCGCTCTCCCGGACCCCGCATTCACTATACTAGGTCTCCCCGGATCCTGCATTCACTATATCTGGTCTCCCTGGACCCTGCATTCACTATATCTCTCCCCGGACCCTGCATTCACTATATCTGGTCTCCCCGGACCCTGCATTCACTATATCTGGTCTCCCCGGACCCCGCATTCACTATATTTGATCTCCCCGGACCCCGCATTCACTATATCTGAATCTCCCCGGACCCTGCATTCACTATATCCAGTCTCCCCGGACCCTGCATTCACTATATATCTGCTCTCCCCGGACCCTGCATCCATTATATATCTGCTCTCCCCGGACCCTGCATTCACTATATCCGCTCTCACCGGACCCTGCATTCACTATATCTGGTCTCCCCGGACCCTGCATTCACTATATCTGGTCTCCCCAGACCCTGCATTCACTATACCTGCTCTCTCCGGACCCTGCATTCACTATATCTGTTCTCCCCGGACCCTGCATTCACTATATCCGCTCTCCCCGGACCCTGCATTCACTATATCCGCTCTCCCCGGACCCTGCATTCACTATATCTGGTCTCCCCGGACCCCGCATTCACTATATCTGGTCTCCCCGGACCCCGCATTCACTATATCTGATCTCCCCGGACCCCGCATTCACTATATCTGATCTCCCCGGACCCTGCATTCACTATATCTAATCTCCCCGGACCCTGCATTCACTATATCCAGTCTCCCCGGACCCTGCATTCACTATATCTGGTCTCCCCGGACCCCGCATTCACTATATCTGATCTCCCCGGACCCCGCATTCACTATATCTGATCTCCCCGGACCCTGCATTCACTATATCTAATCTCCCCGGACCCTGCATTCACTATATCCTCTCTCCCCAGACCCTGCATTCACTATATCTGGTCTCCCTGGACCCTGCATTCACTATATCTGCTCTCCCCGGACCCTGCATTCACTACATCCGCTGTCCCCCGGAACCTGGATTCACTATATCTGGTCTCCCTGGACCCTGCATTCACTATATCCGCTCTCCCCGGATCCTGCATTCACTATATCCAGTCTCCCCAGACCCTGCAATCACTATATCTGGTCTCCCCGGACCCTGCATTCACTATATCTGCTCTCCCCGGACCCCGCATTCACTATATCTGGTCTCCCCGGACCCCGCATTCACTATATCTGTTCTCCCCGGACCCTGCATTCACTATATCTGGTCTCCCCGGACCCTGCATTCACTATATCTGTTCTCCCCGGACCCTGCATTCACTATATCTGTTCTCCCCGGACCCTGCATTCACTATATCTGGTCTCCCAGGATCCTGCATTCACTTTATCCGGTCTCCCCGAACCCTGCATTCTGCTCTAGGAGGATGCAGGACCCCTGACCTCTGTCTGGAACAGGGCCGGTGCTATCACTAGGCAAACTAGGCAGCCTCCTAGGACGAAGGCATGGTCAGGTGCGCTGGGAGAGCAGTACAGCCGGCTCTACTGTAACACATTAATTTTACATTCCCTAAGCCCTTCAGTTCTCCAAAGGGGCCCAGGAGGCGCGGAGCAGAGGACTTTTTTTTTTTTTTTTTAATTCTGTGCGCAGGTGGCTAAAGCAGTGCTGATCAGTGGTGGCCGACTGCAGCTGCTCACAGCCTTCCGCTGGTGGAGTGATTATCCCTTCTTCTGCTGCAGGACGGTAGGCGAAAGCGAGGCGGTAGTCCAGCGGCGGGAGGTGATTCAACAGAGAGGTTACCGAGGGCACAGGCAGCAATGGGAACCCGGTGCACATCTCCATGTATAATACATAAGGGGGGACATGATCTCCATGTATAATACATAAGGGGGGACATGATCTCCATGTATAATACATAAGGGGGGACATGATCTCCATGTATAATACATAAGGGGGGACATGATCTCCATGTATAATACATAAGGGGGGACATGATCTCCATGTATAATACATAAGGGGGGACATGATCTCCATGTATAATACATAAGGGGGGACATGATCTCCATGTATAATACATAAGGGGGATATGATCACCATGTATAATACATAAGGGGGGATATGATCTCCATGTATAATACATAAGGGGGATATGATCTCCATGTATAATACATAAGGGGGGATATGATCTCCATGTATAATACATAAGGGGGATATGATCTCCATGTATAATACATAAGGGGGGACATGATCTCCATGTATAATACATAAGGGGGGATATGATCTCCATGTATAATACATAAGGGGGGATATGATCTCCATGTATAATACATAAGGGGGATATGATCTCCATGTATAATACATAAGGGGTGTATAATACATAAGGGGGGATATGATCTCCATGTATAATACATAAGGGGGGATATGATCTCCATGTATAATACATAAGGGGGGATATGATCACCATGTATAATACATAAGGGGGGATATGATCTCCATGTATAATACATAAGGGGGGATATGATCTCCATGTATAATACATAAGGGGGGATATGATCTCCATGTATAATATAATATAAGGGGGGATATGATCTCCATGTATAACACATAAGGGGGGATATGATCTCCATGTATAATACATAAGGGGGGATATGATCTCCATGTATAATACATAAGGGGGATATGATATGATCTCCATGTATAATACATAAGGGGGGATATGATCTCCATGTATAATACATAAGGGGGATATGATCTCATGTATAATACATAAGGGTGGGATATGATCTCCATGTATAATACATAAGGGGGGATATGATCTCCATGTATAATACATAAGGGGGGGATATGATCTCCATGTATAATACATAAGGGGGGGATATGATCTCCATGTATAATACATAAGATATGATCTCCATGTATAATACATAAGGGGGGATATGATCTCCATGTATAATACATAAGGGGGGATATGATCTCCATGTATAATACATAAGGGGGATATGATCTCCATGTATAATACATAAGGGGGGATATGATCTCCATGTATAATACATAAGGGGGGATGTGATCTCCATGTATAATACATAAGGGGGGATGTGATCTCCATGTATAATACATAAGGGGGGATATGATCTCCATGTATAATACATAAGGGGGGATGTGATATGTATCTCCATGTATAATACATAAGGGGGATATGATCTCCATGTATAATACATAAGGGGGGATATGATCTCCATGTATAATACATAAGGGGGATGTGATCTCCATGTATAATACATAAGGGGGGGATATGATCTCCATGTATAATACATAAGAGGGGGGGGGGGGGGGGGGATATGATCTCCATGTATAATACATCAGTGGTCCATATAGTGAACCCGGTGTAGTTATTCCCCCTGAGGTCATCACAGAGGACAAGGGGGCGCTCTTTACATCTGGAGGAAAATAAATGTAATCTCCAAACACGGAAAGGTTTCTTCACAGTGAGAGCTGTGAGAATGTGGAATAGACTCCCTCCAGAGTTGATTGTGGCCAGCTCAGTGGATTGCTGTAGGAAAGTCCTGGATTCTTTCTTGGATACACAGAATATAACTGGATATAACATTTATAGGTAAAGTTGATCCAGGGAATATCCGATTGCCTCTCGGGGGATCAGGAAGGAATTTTTTTCCATTGCAGGAGCAAATTGGATCGTGCTTTGCTGGGTTTTTTTGCCTTCCTCTGGATCAACTGTGGGTGTAGGATTATAACTTTTTGTTTTTGGATGAACTGGATGGACTTTTGTCTTTTTTCAGCCAGACTAACTATTTAACTATGTAATAGCTGTGCAGCCTCCAGATCACTTCCACACCCCCTATGTGCCCTACCATGCTTCCCAGGCTCCGTACTCCCAAAAGCAGACCTGGGACTTGCATGGTGGGTGCCATCGTTACAAGGGAGATCAGTGAATACCTGTTCACTGATCTCGCCTTCCTGTTAGACGCAATGCGTAAAACCTCACTTCTGGGTCCTGGTGTCACTGTACCCAGACAATATTGGATGAGATTATCTGGAGACCAAGCCATCTCCTGCAAACTTCAGCCAATCTGTGAAGAGGAGGTATCCAGCCAATGAGGTGCAGCGCCAACTGTGCTTCCTCCCAGCTCCTCAGTCAGTTTTTATACGGGGCTAATGCCTCCAAGGATTAGCTCTGTGTGGAGTTTTGTTTGAAGTTTTATTTATTTATTTTTTTTGGGGGGGGGGGGGTGCAAGTTGGTGGTCTTGCCTAGGGTGCAAAAATAGTCTAGTACCTGCCCTGGTCTGGACAGCACTGATTGGCCCTGTTCTGATTGTGATGGGAGTCATTTTGGGTGGGGGGCCCATGGAACCCAGCGCACTTTGGAGAGGTGGGGGAGACCCCTGTCTCAGCTCCCCATATGCCTATTATGTGTAAGTCACCCTGTGTCTGTTAGGGGTACAGGGTGGATCTGTCCTAATATTGGGGTGGGGGGTTGTTGATTGTTTAATGCCATGTGGCTGCATCCCATT